TACTTCTGATGGCTGGGATCCTGATGGAGGGGCTCTGCTCTCTTTGACTGTGGCAGATGGTTCCTCTGTACTGGACATTCCACCACCAGTTTGGGAGATTGGGGATACAGTTGGAATAGATACTCCATTGGCAATTATTAGAGACGTGCAAAGGGCTGCTAACTTGGAAGATAGTAAGGATGATTGGTTTATGGAAAGTATAGGAGGGACAAGTAGTTTGTTGGGATTATCATGTGCTGAGGAGGAGGAGAGAACTCATGATATGTTTCAAGTGATTGAGGATGAGTGGGCGATGGTGAATTCTATGAAGAATCCTGGGTGGAAGGGGGGGAGAGAGTTGAAAAGTTTGTTTTCTAGTGTTAACTATGAAGGGAGGAGTGGGGGAAGGAGAAAAAGAGGGGGGGGGGGGGGGGGGGGGGGGGGAGGGATATTGTGTCTACGAAGCTCAAGATTGTGTCTTGGAATGTTCGGGGATTGAATGACCCGAACAAAAGAAGGGTGGTGAAGGTTCTTCTACGTAAATGGGGGGTGCATGTGGTCTGTTTGTAGGAATCTAAATTGGATTCGGCTTTTGATCATGTTATTAAAAGTCTGTGTGGGGGGGTAGGTTTGTGGATTGGGAGGTGGTTGATGCCGAGGGGACTGCCGGAGGTATTGTGGTGCTTTGGGATAAAAGATGGGTATCGAAAGCTGACGTGTGGAAATGGAGATACTCTATTTCTGTGCCGTTGGAGGAAGATGGTTCACAATGGGCGTTTTCTGGTGTGTATGGGCAAGGAGGGGATGTAGAAAGAAGCGGTTTGTGGGAGGAGCTGGGGTTTGCTAGATTAAGGTGGGCAGTCCCGTGTACTTTCGACGCTCTTTTCAGGATTGGGAGGTGGACAAGGTATGTGTCTTTCTGGATTTGCTGTATCGACAGGAGGCAGTTGGCAGAGGTTGTGATGACATGACATGGATTCCCTCTTTCCATGGTCGCTTCGAAGTACGATCATTATTTTTATGTCTTTGTGATTTTGATATTGTTGATTTTCCGTGGAAGACTATATGGCGCTCTATGGCTCCAACTAGGGTTGCATTCTTTGTTTGGACCGCTGTATGGGGTAAGATCTCGACGATTGATAATTTAAGGAAAAGGGGTAATTATCTTGTTAACTGGTGTTGCCTTTGCAAACAAGATGGTGAGTCAGTTGCTCATATTCTCATGCATTATCCTATGGCGAGGGATTGTTGGAATCTTATCTTTTGTTTGTTTGGTATGCGTTGGGTTATGCCTTGTTATCCTAAGGATTTGATTCGTATTTGGAGAGGATGCCCTGTGTGTAGTGCTGTTCGCGATTATTGGAGAGTTGTACCACATTGTGTCTGGTGGTGCATTTGGAAGGAGAGGAATAGTAGAATGTTTGATGGGAAAGAATCGTCCACGGCGATTCTGAAACTTCATATCATACGCTCTCTTTTCAGTTATGTGAAGAGGAAGTCCTGTTCCTCTTCCGAAGATTTAATTATATTTTGGCTTCTTTGGGGCTTTAAACCCCGGTTTCACTTTTGTATAAGGGATGCGTTTCCCTTTTGAACGCCCTTTTAATTCAATTATTACTTACCAAAAAAAAAAAAAAAAGGTGGGCAATCCCGTGGTGCATTGGGGGAGATTTTAATGATGTCCGTACGCCTAGTGAGAGATCCACATGAGGTATTTGGTCGCAGGCCATGATTGATTTTTCAGACTTTATTGGCACCCACCACCTTATTGATCTTCCGATGGAAGGAAGCCACTTCACGTGGTTTAGTGGAAGGGATTCACCTACATTGTCACTGTTGGACAGATTCTTGGTGTCGGGGGATTTGGAGGAGAAGTTCCCTGATATGTCTCAGGTGGCTTTGGCCCGGGCTATTTCGGACCATATTTCGATTCTTCTTGATTGTGGAGGGGTGAGGAGAGGGAGATCGCCTTTTTGGTTTGAAAATATGTGGCTCCGTGATGTTGATTTCAAAGATAGGGTTCGGATTTGGTGGACGGGCTATGAGGTTAGGGGCAGTCCAAGTTTCTCGTTGGCATCCAAATTAAGGTTGTTGAAGAGCGATATTAAGACTTGGAACAAAGAAGTGTTTGGTAACCTTGTATGGAGAAAGAACAGAATCCTCCAGGAAATCTCAGTTCTAGATAGGAAGAAGGGTGAGGAAGGGCTTAGTAGCAGGGATGTGAGCAGAAGTGAGGAGTGTAAGGTTAAGTTTGGAGAGATTGTGGAGATGGAGGAAATCTCTTGGAGACAGAAGTCTAGATCCCTTTGGCTTAAGGAAGGTGATCGAAACATGAAGTTTTTTCATCGTATGGCTAACTGCAGATGATGACATCCGAAATGGGTTTGTGTCTTTTTTCAAGCAGCTCTTTGCAGAGAATGCTTCATGGAGGCCTTTGCTTGATGGGCTTGAGTTTGCGGTTATCTCGGATGGTGATAGAGACTGGCTTGAGATGCCGTTTGGGGAGGAGGGGGTGTTGGTAGCTTTGAGGAGCTGTGATGGGGATAAAGCCCCTGGACCGGATGATTTTTCTTTAGCTTTCTTTCAGCATAATTGGGAGGTGGTGAAGGTTGAGGTGATGGGGGCTATTGGTTACTTTTTCTTGCATGGATCATTTGAGAAGAGTCTCAATGCTTCCTTTATTACTTTGGTCCCAAAAAGAGTGGAGCTATTGAGGCTCAGGACTTCAGACCCATTAGTCTTGTTGGGGCTGTGTATAAAATTATTGCGAAAGTGCTAGCCTTACGACTGAGGAGAGTGCTTGATGGGGTAATCTCGGATTCTCAAAATGCTTTTGTTGGAGGGCGTCAAATTTTGGATTCAGTGTTGATCGCGAGTAAATGTATTGAGGCCAGGGTGAGGAGTGGAATTCCAGGGGTGGTGTGCAAATTGGATATTGAAAAGGTTTATGACTATGTTTGCTGGGATATTTTGATGTATATGATGAGAAGAATGGGCTTTGGTCAAAAGTGGAGGGAGTGGATTTTTTTTCAGTATTTCAACAGCACGATTCTCTGTTTAGTGAATGGTTCTTGAGGATTGAGGCAGGGGACCTTGTTAGTCAGGTAGTCTGGGAATCAGGAGATTGGTGCCTTTTAATAATGCTCTGCTTGGGGAAGTGGTTGTGGAGATTTGGATTAGAGAGGCAAAGATTATGGAGAAGGGTTATCTCCTGCAAATTTGGGGAGGAGAGGGGCGGGTGGTTTTCTTTAGTAGTGAGGAGCCCAGGAGGGGTAGGTGTTTGGAAATTAATCAGGAATGGGTGGGATTAATTTTTTAAACGCCTCAGATTTAAGATCCGGGATGGCAGATACATTCTCTTTTGGGAGGATGTTTGGTGTGGAGACCGTTCGCTAGCCTCCTCTTTCCTAAGGCTCTTCAGGATTGCTTCGGATAGACAAGCCCTGGTTGTCGACTGTTAACGACTTGATAGCGAGAGGTTGACTTGGGATGTGTGCTTCGTGAGACATTTTTGTAGCTGTTGTACTAGAAAGAGGTGGAGGATGCCTTGGGTTTTTTTTGGAGCTGTTGTACTAGGAGGAGGTGGAGGGTAGAGGGACTGACTCTTGGGATTGGGCGCTTTCTTCTCAGGGGAGGTTTCAGGTGCGCTCTTTATATAGGACTCTTTCAGATGCTTCGAGGGCTTCCTTTCCATGGAAGGCAATTTGGCGCACTAAGGCTTCTCTTAAGGTGGCCTTATTTGCTTGGACAACAATTCTGGGGAAGATTTTGACATTGCATAACTTGAGGAGGAGACAAGTTATTGAAATTATTGTTGCATGGCCTTCTTTTGCATTGTCCAGTGGCCCGGGACAACTGGGTTTTGCTATTGAGTTTGTTTGGGATTCAGTGGGTTATGCCTCTGTCCTCGAGAGGCATGATAAAGGCTTGGAGAGGTTGTTCGGTGGGTTCCAAGTCCGTAGTTTCTGGAGGATTGCACCCTTGTGTGTTTGTGGAAGGAACAGAATAGGAGATCCTTTGATGGGGAGGAGAGTCCTATTGGGGATTCAATTGCTAATAGAATAGTCATTGTAACAATTACATGGGGAAGAAGGAACCAATTTGAGTGTTTTACACGATCGCATTTATTTTGAAATATCATTATAATAGTGGGGAGCTGAAATTCTCTATGAGAAAAGTTGTAAATCTTATGGGGGAGAGAGTTAATTTTTTTGGATATATTGAGAGTTTAGGGGCCCTATTTGGTCCTTGTATAGCTTTTGTGGGCTGCATTCCCCGTTTGAATGCTTTCTATTGAAATCTTACTTATTAAAAAAAAAGAAAGTACTACTGTACTAGTAATGGTGTTTGATTATTTTTGTTGCATTCACTAGCATCGAGCAAACAAGAGATCGCAAAATTGTTTATTATAAATTTATAATTGAAAGCTTCATACCCTTTTTGGGGCCTGATTTGCAGAGCTATGGTTTTGATTTTTAGAGGATGAAGAAGATGACAGTAGTTGTTCAGTTGGGTTTTTTCTTATTGGTGTTAAAGGGGTATTTTAGTCATTTTGGTTGCAAGGGTTGCTTCAAGGTTATTAAAATCATTAGAAAGTGGACCCGCAATCATGTGACATACGCATAGTTTATTCACCGTTAACTTTTAACAGGAATCTAATGGGATGGAGGCTCTGTGATGTCTCTAATAGTAGAAGGGGGTAAAGCGTCAAAAATGAAAGTATAGGGAAGTTTTGGAAATTAAACTCTCTTTTTTAATATTTGATTGATGTCATGCATATAGAAAGTAATGTTAAAAATTTCTGATGAAGCTCGTTCTTGTGTTCATTCTTGAAAATTATCAACGAAAACCTTTCATCTACTGTGCTTTGCATTTTGGCGTTGGTTGCCATCTAAACCTATTGAGATCTATCCGTAACTATAAGACCTCATTCACAAATAACTTTCTACACTGCAGATTCTCCTTTGTTAACTCCTTAATATGGTTCGAAGAATTATCTCAACTTGTGTCTTCTTTACCAGGATGCTGCAAACAACGCAGATTTGGTTTTTAAGGATGCAGAAGTTGTTTCTTCAAAAGAAATGGACAAATGGCTTTTAACGACTGAAGCATTAGAGGTCAAGAAGATGGAACTGGAGATTGAATCACACTTAATAAATGAAGCACGATTGGTGTTGAATGATTCAATTGAACATTCAGTCGAGGATGATAGGAGAGAAAGAGAACTTCTTTCTAAGAGAAAAGAAACATTGACAGAGGAACTGGAGAAACTACTTGCTTTAGTGAAAGAGAAAGAAGCAGAAATAGCAGAAAATAATTTCAACATTGAAATTGTTGAGAAAAGGATTGCTGATGCGGTATCTGGTTTTCAGGACGTGCAGTCAAATATAAATGCAAAGTATGATAATCTGCAGTCAGGGCTTTGTCAGGTGGGGCTGGACAATGAAGCTTTAGCTAGAAAAAAGAAGGAAATTGATGAATTCATGTCTCAGGAAGAAGACAGGGGAGCAAATCTTAGAAAACTTGCCCAGATCTCCGCAGATGAAGCAAAGATGTACCAAGAAGTTGTTGGGCTTCGAAAGAGTCTGGTGCTGTTTGTTTTGAAGTCCAGGGAAGATAGAGCAAGGCTTGCCAAAACTGAGGAAAATCTTTCAGACGACGTCCAGATGCTCAGACATGATGTTACTGCTGCAAGAGCTTCTCTTCAGGTATTTTAGCTTCACAACCTCGTAATGTGTTTTTATTTAGTTTCTTCCAACATTGGCATGCCAGTAAGAAAGGACCTCTCTTTGTTCTTGTTCCTATTTCTTTTTATTATTTGGAGTGCCTATTTTTTACATTTAGGAACTGATCAGGTTTTGTTAGTCTCTGCCAAGTAAGTTTGTTGGTCATGTATTTTTATATCTCGACCAAAGAATTTTAGAAAGTTATGGAGGACAATTTGGGTGCACTTTCTTGGGTGATTTGAAAGGATGACATAATCTAATCTAGGTTTGGTAAACCATTATATACGAAGTGGATTCCCTCTGCTCTGCTGATTTGAGGGATTCACACTAAATCTGCTGTATTTTCAGACTAGATAAAATCTGCATGCAGATTTGACTTCACAAGTCAAAAATTTGACAGTTCCATTTTCTTTCTATCCCACATTGACGTCGTCAAATATTTTATTTTAATTATTCGAATTTCCATCTACTTTGTTAATAAGGTAACAAGACGAACTTCCAGTATTCTTTAGGGTGAAGGCTTAACGCAGTCTCATACTTGGGTAAGATCTAAAACGTTCAAGAAAGAACCTGACTGATTTTTTATTTTATTAATTTTATTTTGAATAAGACGCAAGGAATATTAATGAAGGCATTTGAGAGAGCAGCGGTCTTTGCTCGGGGAAGGAATAAGCCATCGAAGGGCACCAAACAGGGTAAGTTTAAGGAAGGAGTCACTAAATACGAAAATGTGGTAAGGAAGGCAGTTAACGGTAAAGTATACTCGTCTGGCCAAGTTTTAAATAGAAAACACAAGACTTCGTAAGGATGGACTTAAACCCACATGTGGAGACTGAGATGATATACCCAAGAACCACTATCCGCTAGTCTTCCATTTCTAAATGCTTTTGTGCTATTTAGAGCCTTTGAGTAGCACGGCCTATTGAAAAGGCTTCGAGTAATCTAAACTTATTTTAATGAATCATACATGTTACAGATACTCATATCTACCCTCTCTAGTGGCCCTCTAGACCATAAAACTAATTAAAATATATAAAATCTGTGCTACTAGGACTCGCCATTGTAACCCAAGGTGAGTGTGTCGATACCACCGCTCGAATACAGGCACTGGATATGAGTTAATGATGCATGATCTGATGTTGGTGAAGGATTGGAGAAAATTTTCATGTTTCCTTGTTAGATCTGCTTCCATAAATCGTGCTCAGAAGATCTCTGGTTCAAAAATGGCCTCTGTTGAAAATGATGGTTGCCCCACACTCTGGCTTAGCACACTTTTCTTTGTTGGCCAAGAAGTCATTCCATTTGCGTCTTTTCGAACGAGTGAAAAGGGTTTCATCAATTTATTTGATTGGCCATATAAATACCATGCTTCCTCTTAGATTGATGGGCACTTCTTAGCTTCTACAACCACACTTTTATTTTAACCAGCAGTAAATGGTAATTTTGAGCCATGTGCTCTTTCAACTACAGTTGTAATCCATTTTCTCCACATCTGTAATTATTCTGATCTACAACTTTAACCAATTACAGTTGCTTTCTGTTAACAACCATCTACTCCAAAAGCTTAAGTTGTTAAAGATGGTGTAACTTAAATATATAAATCCTTCAACACACCCCCTCAAGTGTGGCCTTCTTTTGGTCCAACACATGTTTTTCAATTTTTAATTAGGGTGACAGTGAGATTTGAACTCGAGACCTTTAGCTCTTATACTATGTTAACTACCATCTACTCCAAAAGCTTAAGCCTTAAGCTATTAAAGAGGGTGTAACTTAAATATATAAATCCTTCAACACTTTCATTCCACCCCAACTTCCCCCTCACCCGGCCCCGTGTAAGATGGCCTTAAAATTTACTACTACTATTTTTTTCAAAAAATAGATATAATAAAATATATTTGACAAAATATGTTCAGTGTCTTCTTTTGTTTCTGTTAGAACATTTATATGTATATCTATATATATATATATATGTTGGGCCAAATTGTAATTACTTGAAGTTAGTGGCCATTCTGTAATTAGGCCTCTCTCCTTTTTCACATTTGCATATACCCCTTTTGTTTAGGGTTTATTGTAATAAGAAAGAGCAGCCTCTATATTTTTTTCCTCTTTCTTCTACATGGTATCAAAGAGGCCGATCCAAGCTGACGTTGCCGCCACGAGTTCTGTAATCATTGGCTGAGGTGCAAACCAGCATCGCGAAGATCTAGTTTTGTGGTCAAAGTAACCTGTCGCCATCTGCAGAGGCTTCATCATTGCGAACCAGCATTGTCGCGAACCAATTATTCGCTGTTGCCGGAGTCTTTCGTCATCTTCCTTGTGTTGGTTGGTTGGAGTTGTGCTCGATCTTGTCGCATTGTGTTGTGGTTGCGGTCGCCCTACCTTATTGTGGCCCGTCGGTGTGCCATAGTTGCCGAGAGCTTCGCCGTTTGTTTTGGTTGTTGGTCGAAGCTTCACCATTTTGTCTGTGCCGTCATCATCTCCGTTACAAGTGCTCGCTGTTGCCGTCTCTGGGATTTGTTGGCTTCCAGTGAGCTTGTGAGGAAGAAAGGGGGTGTTTGGCTACTAGTGTGTGGTTGTCCCAAACCAGTTCAGGCTTGACCCGATTTTGGATCCAACAGACCTGGTTCTGATCAGAATTTTCTTGCCTTCTCTGGTGAAGAAGACTCGTTCCTTTGTGCATCCTCTTTCTTCTTGGGACAGTAAGTTTTTTTTTTGAAGTGTATTCTCTTTGGTTCAGTGTTCATCCATGTCAGACTCTTCAACTGCTGTCACTGAACCTACTGGAATTAAGTCCCCTGTCATGCCTTCTGATCATGTTGGACTGCAAATTACAACACTGAAATTAAGTAATTCAAATTACTTACTGTGGGCTTAAGCTGTGAAGGTATCTTTGGGAGCCCAACGAAAATTAAAATTTGTTCTACAAGATCCTCCATCTAAAACTCAACAGGGTATGATGATTGGGAAACCCATAACTACATGATTATGTCATGGCTGTGGAATAGTATGGAGTCTTCTATTGCAGCTACTTTTATAGTTGTGAACACTGCAAAGGAAATTTGGGATACAGTTACAGAAACCTACTCTATGGACATGAATGTTTCTCGCATCTATTCCTTGTATGAAAAGATGTTTCATTCTCGTCAGTCCCAGGCATAGGTGAGTTGAATCAGTACCACCCCTTGACTACTAATCTTGAAGTCTTCAAGCACCAACGTGAGGAATTTTATGTTACTATTTTTCTTGCTGGATTAGACCCTAACTTTAAGAGTTTTCGGAATCAAATACTTGTTGGTAATGGAGGACTCCCATCCTTGGGTAATATTTATGCTCGATTACTTCGGGTTTCTGAATCATCACATGTAACGTCACCTGGGAAAGAAAATTCAGCTATGATTATTCCTTCTGTCACCCCTTAGGTTTCCAAAAGTCGTGGTAATCCCAATAGCAACCGAGGTGTTGGAGACAATTGTAGACTTTAAGATATAATCAAATTAAGAGTAAGTGATAAAGAAGCAGAAGAAAAAGAGAAGAAAGCGGATGAGAGAAAAAGAGAGAGAGATGGGGAAAGAGAGAAAGAATGAAAGAATACTTTCATCCTTCCACCACATTCTATTTATAGTAACAAGTTTCAAAAATTACACATAAGCCCCAACATTATATAAGTAAATAACAAATAAGCCCCTGACAACACTCCCCCTCAAGCTGGTGCAAAGATATCTATCATGCCCAACTTGACTAACATATTTTGCAAGGAAGTCTTGCTCGCACCCTTAGTCAAAACATCAGCAACCTGATCACGTGTGTTGACATATGGAGTACAAATCAGCCCAAGATGAAGCTTTCCTTGATGAAGTGTCGATCGACTTAAATGTGTGGGCAATGTTAATAGCAGCCTTGTTGTCACAATACAACTCACGAACAGGATAACCTAACTCACCCAACAGCGTACGTAGCCATAACAACTCACAAACTCCATATGCCATGGATCTGAACTCAGCCTCTGCACAAGATCTAGCTACTATAGACTATTTCTTGCTTCGCCATGAAAAAAGATTACCTCCAACAAATGTGCAATATCCTGAAATAAATCGTCGATCTGTCACAGATCCTACCCAATTAGCATCGGTAGAGTCTTCAACACGCAAGTGGTCATGACTGCCAAACAATATCCCCTTACTAAGTGAACCCTTGAGGTAGCGAAGAACATGATGAGCTGCCTCAAGGTGAGGTGTACATGGAGCATGCATAAACTGACTAATCACACTAACAACGTAGGCAATATCCGGGCGCGTGAGAGATAAGTAAATCACTCTCCTAACCAATCGCTGAAATCTTCCCACATCATCTAATAGGTCTCCATCTACATCATTAAGCCTATGGTTCTGCTTAATGGGAATATTAATAGGTCTAGCTCCAAGCCTGCCTGTTTCAGCCAACAAACCTAACACATACTTCCGTTGAGAAATGAACACCCCTTTCTTCGATTTGCACACCTCGATGCCAAGAAAGTATCTCAATGATCCGAGGTCTTTAACCTCAAACTCTGTCCCCAAGAATGACTTCATTCGACGAATCTCTTCTGGATCATTTCCAGTGATAACAATATCATCAACACATACAATAAGGGCAGTGGTGTAGCCTTGGTACTTCTTGATGAAGAGAGTATGATCTGCCTGACTCTGTGTGTACCATACTCTTTTCACAGCAGTGCTAAACCTCTCAAACCAAGCACGTGACGACTGCTTTAACCCATATAAGGCTTTATTTAGTTTGCACACTAAATTCTGACCATTGGCAAGCTTAAACCCTGGTGGCATAGAGTAAAAATATAAAAAGAAGAGAAATGAGAGAATTGCGTAAAGGCTTGAATGAGATGAATTACTCATTCACAACTGTAGTATTTATAGATAAAAAGAGCACATGCTTATATTACAAGAAAGGAAACTAAATCAAATCTAAATCAAATCACAACCTATTCT